CACCCCCATTCCCACTCGTACAGCATCCTCTGACTCTGCTGATGCTAAGCCTTGCCCACATCTCTTGGGCAGCACTTAGCACGATCACTCACCAGTCTTTGCTTGCTGTCTGCCTCTCCTTCTAGACCATCTAGAGGGCAAGGTCCAGGCTTTCTCTATTTTGTATCACCTGCCACTGGCATGAAGTAGGTTCTTAATAATAAATGTTTGATACAATGACAATACATTGACTCCAAAGCTTACAGTCAGGAAACACAACAGCCCTGTGGTGTTTTGTCAGGGGTCCTGGGGAGTCTAAAAGCTGTGTGACCTCTGGCAAATCAGTTACCCTCTCTGGACCTTGGGATCTTCATCAGTCAAGTGTACCGCACTCTAGTTCCCAAGCTTCAGTGCTCTGGAACGGGACAGTGAGGGGTCCAGGACACCGGTCCCCTCCCTCCTCATGGCTTGGAGTACCAGACCACAATATACTCTGGGACAACACTGAGAAGAGAAGCTAAGATGCTGCAGGCCAGAAGCTCCTGCTCACTTTCTAGTCCCCGAGGCCCAGGAGCTGGTACCCACAGCTTGGAACGCATCAGCACTCACAGGCTCCTGAGCTCAGTGACCCCATGGCCCTGATGTACAGCTGAGCAAACTGAGATCAGAGAGGCGAGGCTTCTCCTGAGGTAACACAGCAGGGAAAAGGCAAAGCCAAGCCTAGAAACCATTGAGGCGCACTACCCACCACCCCACACCACTCCTCAGCAAACCCAGGTTGGCTGGACCCCTCCACAACTGCCTGGTCTTCCCAAGACTGTTGTAGTCACTTCTGTCACTCCTGCCCTCTACCCCTCACCACCTCTACCCCAGCCTCAAAAGAACCAGCCCAGGAAGAATGGGTCCCTTTGTGAGATACCCGGTAGGTTTTCAGGAGGGAAGGCTTTTTCTTCTCCTTTGGTTGGTCAAAGCTAAAAAATAAATACGAAGTGCTTGATGCAAGTAGCAAACTCTTTGGAACCAGAGGTGAATGCTCCTTCTCCCCCATCCCACTCTGAGAAGAAGCAAGAAAGGTTTTCAGGAGGGAAGGCTTTTTCTTCTCCTTTGGTTGGTCAAAGCTAAAAAATAAATACGGCAAGTGCTTGATGCAAGTAGCAAACTCTTTGGAACCAGAGGTGAATGCTCCTTCTCCCCCATCCCACTCTGAGAAGAAGCAAGAAGGCTGGGTCCATTTCTGAGTTGGAAGTGGCAGGCTGGTCCTGGCCCATGAGCTCAGCATCACTCCAGCACCCCATCCACCTCCATCACCCCTGGGGAGATAGGTGGAGTAGGTGTGGGCCACACCCAAGTGCCCCCTCTTAAACCCACGGGGACTGATCTAGGTTCAAGTCTGACTGTGTCAGGGTAACGTTCGCCCAGAGCTCCAGGTAAAACGTCCTTCCTGCTCTCCAAAGCCAAATGAAACCCTCTTTTCAGCTAAAACTTTATTTTCTGTTCTCCTACTTTCCTTCCAAATGCTCAGCACGCAGCACCTCCAGACCCACAAGCAATGAGCACTATCACACCACTATCAGGTGACAGCAACGTTATCCAGGCACCAAGGTGTGATTGGTTTGCAAAAATTCACTGAGCTGGATACTTATATGCATACTCTGTATGTGAAAAGGTGTTTATATGCATACTTTGTATGTGAAAAGGTGTTTTTTAATCTTACCCAAACCCTGGCCTCCTCCTGCCTCATCTCCCACCAACACCTGGTACTTAGCTTTCTAATCCCTCTAAATGCCTTTGATTTCTCAACATCAAGCTCTTTTCACACCTCCAGGCCTTTGCACCTGCTCTTCCTTCTACCTGGAATGCTCCAAATCACGTCTCTTTAGTAGACTTTCAACCATCCTTTAAAACCCAACTTGGATATCACCTCTTCCAGGAAGCCTTCCAGGGCTGCCTCCTTATCATGCCAAGAGTCCATCACTAATTCTTTCTCCCTCTGGACTGCCTCGTTACTGTTTGTGTCTTTATCTGCCTGTGAGTATGTCAGAGATGATGTAGTTTAGTCTCTGTGCCCCCAGCCCTAGGAACTGTGACTGGAATGCTTCAGTGGCTTCGCCTACTGCATGCAGTGTGCCAGGCCTTGGCTGATTCCAAGGCATCATCTCATTTAACCCTCACCACAAGGGATGTATCATCTCCCACCAACACCTGGTACTTAGCTTTCTAATCCCTCTAAATGCCTTTGATTTCTCAACATCAAGCTCTTTTCACACCTCCAGGCCTTTGCACCTGCTCTTCCTTCTACCTGGAATGCTCCAAATCACGTCTCTTTAGTAGACTTTCAACCATCCTTTAAAACCCAACTTGGATATCACCTCTTCCAGGAAGCCTTCCACGGCTGCCTCCTTATCATGCCAAGAGTCCATCACTAATTCTTTCTCCCTCTGGACTGCCTCGTTACTGTTTGTGTCTTTATCTGCCTGTGAGTATGTACCCTGAGGGCAGAGATGATGTAATTTAGTCTCTGTGCCCCCAGTCCTAGGAACTGTGACTGGAACGCTTCAGTGGCTTCGCCTACTGCATGCAGTGTGCCAGGCCTTGGCTGATTCCAAGGCATCATCTCATTTAACCCTCACCACAAGGGATGTGAGGTGATAGATCAAGTGAGAGTGTTCTGTCAACTCTTCAGCAGAGAGCTGAAACAAGGTAGTATTTTTTTCCTGCTGCCCTGCCCCCCTGCCCTACCCACCAATGCGTCCCTGTCTGGGCCTGTGACTGAGCCTCAGAATCCCCACCATTCCCCAAAGTGGCATCAACAACAGGACAGGAAACTGAAGCAGAGACCTTGAAGCTGGGTAAAAATAGACAGGTGAGGCTGGGCGCTGGGACTGTCATTGTGCAGGACAAAGGAGGGTTGTCTCTGTCCAGGGGCTGCAGACACACTGCTTGAGCATGACTCTGAGAGGTGCCAGGCTCTCAGGGACAGCATCCCCTCAGGATACAGGGAGATGGAGGGGGCTGGACAGCTGGTTGGTGTGGCCTCTGGGTGGTCAGCAATGGTTTGCCCAGTGGCGGCCTGGATGCACAGAGCCCTGTACCCCTTGCTAGCTCCTCACACATATCCTTGGTACTTAAATGAAGACAGGCAGCCCTCAGTCTCCTTTCAATCATTCTGCTTTGATCTCGCCCCCTGCCAGGGTCTGGCTAGGGGAGGGGGACAAAGACCCTTGCTGTAGAACACAGCTGGGCAGTCACACTGCCCAGGCTCACATCCCACACCTGTCACTTACAATTTGGGAATTTGAGCAGTTGGCCCAGCAATAAGCCTCAGTTTCCTCATTTGTGAAGTGAGAGAATCATACTTGTCTCACTTGGTTGTAGTAAGGAGTCAAAGAGATGGAGAATGGCTGACAATTAGCTAAGTGCCTGGTACGTAGTGAGTGTCAATAAATGTCAACTGCTGTCATCACCAACACCATCATCACTATTGCCTATTCCTAAACAATAAATGCCCTGACCTGGCCCAACATATTGTGCCCTTTGTGACCTCATCTCCCACCCTGGCTTCCTGCACACGTTGCATTCCATCTTTGCAGAACAACTTGTGTCTTCACAATCCACCAAGTCCTGTCACTGCTCTGAGCCTTTTCCCAGAGATTATAACCAAATAGGGCCAAAATGCAGAGAATGAAATGACCCAATTAGAGGGGTCACTGGAGACCAGAAGGCAGATAAGAATAGGAACCAAAAGACCTGGACCCCAGTACCAGCTGTGCCACGAGCCCCCTGTGGGATCCTGGGCAAGTCACATTCTTGCTTTGGCTTCCAGTCCCTCCACGTTTGAAACAGCCATACTCCTGTGATCTCCCACGGCTGGGGTGAGAATAGGGAATAGATGGGGAAAGCTCTGGGCTAGGGAAATGGCCAGGCAGCCACGAGCAGCCAGCACTATGTTACCCTCAGAGCCATGGGACAAGTACAACAAGAATGACAGACAGACATTGTGGGAAACATATTTATTGAAAGTACATTTGACCCTTGCAGAAAAGTGGGGAACTGAACAGTGGTGGGGAGCACAGACTCTAGAGACAGATGGTTCTGCCAATTTGTGACCCTGGGCAAGTCACATTACCTCTCCGTCTCCCCAGCCTGGGGCTGTTCTGAGATAATGCACATAATAAACACTCATTAAATAGCTATGATTACAGATGCTGCATTGCTATTGGGACATGGGCATGCAGTAGGGGAAGGATGGCTCAGATGCAGACAAAGATTCAGCCATGCCCACTTGGGATACAGCTCCAGCCCGAGGGGATGTCTGTCCCACCCAGCACAGAGCCAGGCCATAAGCTCCAGCTGTCCTCACATTATACCCCACCCGACATGCTCCCAAAGGGCCCCACAGACCTTACCACCCGCCCTCAATGCCCCCAGTTCACCATCAGCCTCTCATTTCTCAAGGAAAGCTTGAACTAGACATTCCTCTGAATGTGGGGGTCCCTATGGCCACCTTTTAATTTCAGGGGGTAGGGAGCTCCAAACCAGGGTTCTCTCTGCTGCCAATCCAGCATCCACTGCTCAGGGAGAGAGAGGGAAACCACTGGCCTTTGGCAAAGTCCTCGATTGCCAGACCCTCCCTGCAAGCTCACATGGGTCCCCTCCCCCAGAGTGGGGACAGGAGGAAGACAAATGTATAACACCTACTTTGCTGCCTCTTGCAGCTGGGGGAAGAGGATCCCCTGCTGAAGGGAGGGCTAGAGATCTGTGCTGTGCTTTTATCATTTCCATGAGAGACAAGGTAGAGACAACTGGTTAAAACGTGGTTGACAGGCACTTTAAACATTATCATCTTCAAGAACACTAGTGATAAAAACATTGGCAATCTTCCCATCCAAGGGGCGGGAGCAAAGGGGAAATGAAAAGGAGAAGAGAAATCAAAAAGACCTCATCAAGCCCCTCCTCCCCAATCTGTCTCCTTGGATAAAGTTCAATACAACAGCAACACGCAAGGAGAAAAAAATGCCAACCTGAGAATTCACCCGGAGCAGTGATGAGGGAGTTCGTGGCCTCCGTTTCAGTGTAAGACAATGTGGAATCGGACAGATCTGTGTGAGGAAAGAGAAAGAGAACTTAGTTGGCCATGGGTGCCGCTCTCTCCTTTCCTCTTTCTCATGCATCTGTATATGTGTGCATATGTGTGCTTGCAGAGAGCAGTGTGTCTCTCAACTTGCTGATGCCACTCTGTAACCCCGAGAAAGAGAACTTAGTTGGCCATGGGTGCCGCTCTCTCCTTTCCTCTTTCTCATGCATCTGTGTATGTGTGCATATGTGTGCTTGCAGAGAGCAGTGTGTCTCTCAACTTGCTGATGCCACTCTGTAACCCCGACCCAGGACTGCCCAAGACCAGACCAGCCAGCCCTAGAATTCTTCTGGAAAATGCTCGCTGCTACAACCCAGGCACCTGAAAAAGTTGCAAATGCTCTGACCACAGAAATAACCCAAGTTCAGGGGACTGAGCAAGTACCAACTTGGAGCCTCCGTGGGTAAGGTTAAATTAAGCCCCTAAACAATTCATAGTTGCTGTACTTAATTACAACCATTAAAATTCTTGAAGTTGTTCCTTCTTGCTTCCTTCCTTCCTTCCTTCCTCCCGCTGGAGCTGGGGAAACTTTGTTTTAACAAGTCACCAGCCATCCTCCCTCTGTCCCGTTTACACCCCTCTAATTAAGGGCTCAAGCATTTGCTCCCAGATTAACTTTTTTTTCCCCTCTCTCCCCTCCCCCACTCCCTAACATCCAAACCTGCTCACAGAGCAACTTTCAATGCCTGGACTGTTTTTTTAAGGCACTCATTTTTCTAAAGTATTTTAAGTACTTCATATGGCGTGCATTATTTGTTTTCCCCTGCCTGCAGTGCAGTTAGATGGGAAAGGAAAATTCTTTTGCACATTTTCTCTTGAACATGGAGCTGCTAGTTTGACAAGCTGGTGCCTTTTGGGACAGGCAGACTTGGAAAATTTTTCCTGGGCCTGTGCCTCTGCTACCAGCAATGGGGTGTTGTCCCCATTAAGGGACAGGTCTATCCAGGAGTTGGAAGGCATGTTCCAGGAGGCCTATAGCACTTTCATCTTCTCACCCAGTATGACCCAAGTCTGGCTGGGCTGGCCCCACCTGGCCCAACAGAGCCACTCTGAGCAGGGGATTCCTGGAACAAAACTGTGAGCCTAGGCCCTAGCTAGCTAGAATTCCACTCGATCCTGCAGGAATTTTTTTCCTTTTACCACATGGCTTAGGGAGCGGGAAGATGAAACATTAACCAATATAGTCTTTTTTTTTTTGGTTTCCCACTTGCCAGATGCTGACTGGGTGTTCTGAGTTTTATTTTGTTTTTTGGTCTCATGTGATCGCAGAGGCTCAGAAGTGAACTGACTTTCTGTTTATGAAAAAGCAACAATGCAAGGAAAAGAAAATAATACAAAAAAAAATAACTTGGACTCTTTTTCAGGGCACAAATAAGTTATCTTCTGGTAAAATGTATTGAGAGGAAAACAAGGGGCACATGGAAAATCTTTCAAAAAACAAAAACAAAAAACCCTCAGTGTCTAAGTGGGAACTTCTTTAAAGAGTTTTGCTATTAATACCTATGTTTCCAAAGTGCTCAATGCCTGGAGCTTTACTGCCGCTTCTCATTTGAAGCAGCAACATCACAGGCTGAGTCCTATTTCTTAGCAAACTGCTACTCGAGCCAACACAGACAGCACCGTGAGGTTTCCAGAAGGAGTCGGATCAGGCGGTTTCCACCTTTCACAGCTAGTATGTCCCTATCATGACCTTGCCAAACCCTCACATCTAAGTGTCTCTAGTGAGGCCCTCAGTACACACTGTCACAGTAGCTATTATAGCCAGAAGGAGTCGGATCAGGCGGTTTCCACCTTTCACAGCTAGTATGTCCCTATCATGACCTCGCCAAACCCTCACATCTAAGTGTCTCTAGTGAGGCCCTCAGTACACACTGTCACAGTAGCTATTATAGAAAAAAAAAAAATGCTCCCAACCTTGATCACTGCTCAAGCCCCAAGGAGGGACTCCATCTGGAAGTCAGAGTCCGAGTTTTGAGTTCCACCTCCACTTTAGCAATATCAGGGGTCACTAACTTTTTCTGTAAAGGGCCAAGGAGTAAATATTTTCAGCTTTGCAAACCATGCAATCTCTGCCATAACTATTCAACTTTGCCACTAAAGCGCGGAAGTAGCCACAGACAACATAGAACCAGACAAGCATGGCTGTGTGCCAGTAAAACTTTACTCCTGACACTGAAGTTTGAATTTCACATAATTTTCATGTGTTATGAAATATTATTCTTCTTTTGATTTTTTGTCTAACCACTTAAAAAATAAAAACCATTCTTAGCTCACAAGCCATGTAAAAACAGGTGGTGGGCCGAGCCATGACCACTAGCAAGTGTCACTTCCTCTTTCTGGGCCTTGGTTATCCCATTTGTAAAATAATGGGGACACCTGTTGGTTTCCAAATGGTCACTCTGCAGGGCTGGGAGGTGTCCTGATTTTTGCTGCTTTATCACAGGCTGACTGACAATCCCTCAGGGCAGTGATCCCCAACATTCAAACTAAGACACTACATTTACTAAGAACTTTTGAGGTTTTTTTTCTCTAATGGAACTAGGGATCTTCTAAGTGACTAGCGCAATTATGCTGATTTAGGAAACACTGAGACGTGCCTATGCAGGAAGGAAGGGCACTACTGGCCTGAGGGGGGCTGCCCTGGGTTTGCACCTCAGCCCTGCTGCTCATTAGCTGGGCGGCTCCTCCCTCTCACTCAGCCTGATTCCTCATCTGTTAAGCGACAGGGTCCCACCAGATGACCTCTCCAGTTCCCCACAGAACTATATAAAGTTCCTCCACCCACGGGACAATCATACTTCTGGAACAAACAATGGGAAGCCACCATCGTTTAGCCACTGACACACACCCCCCTCGTGGGACAGCCTCTCCCCTCCTTGCCTGAGGAGGTCAATTCCTGACGGGACCTGGTGGTGCTTCTGACTTCACAGGGGGGCCTGGAAGGAAAACTGGGGTGGACGCCTGAGAGTCTATGACTCTAAGAAGTGACCTCCCACATGATGCTGACACACGCTGCTGGGAGGAGGCCCTTACCAAAAACAAAACAAAACCCACTTTTTGTGGTCACTCGGTGGAATGTTTTACCATCACTGCCACGCCATCTGACTTTTAAAGCTTGAGTCCCACGGGAACTGCTGGGATCACAAAGTTTTTCTACTCGTACCGTTAAGGCCAAACTAACTTGCCCCACCACCGGGATTCCAGACTCCACCACTTTTCTGGCTCAAAACCTGTGCTCTGAATCCCCACCAGAGATATAGCAATGAGAAAACACAGGGCCAGGAACAAGCTTCTTTCAAAACCACATGCACCTACTCCAGAATGTGAGCTGATCACCTAGCCCCAAGGTTTTACAGAAAACATGTTCTGCCTCTGAATGGGACTTGTCTAAAATGTCATTACCACCTCCACTAAGCTCACCTAGGGGATAGATAGCCCATGCCAGGGGCCTTATGTACCAATACACATGTTTTCTAAACATTCTAATTGTTCTTCCTGCCCAGGTGAACATCTTAGCTTAAAAAGGGGGGAACATACTGCTCCTCTCAAAAAAGACTTCATGCCCAACCTATTTGTCATACTGCTAATTAATACACACTAAAGGAGAACAACCCAAAGCTGGAGGAGGGAGAGAGAGAAAAAGAGACACAGAAATACCAACCCACCTCCAATGAGATGCTTAAGTCAAAACCCATTCATCTCCGACAGGCCCGTGTTTAAAGGTCACAGAGAGGTTAATGATGAGCCATGGAATTTCAAGATGTAAACAGCCTGCTGCAGAAGCTGGGTCTGCTTGGGCCCAACTGGGGGAGTGTTTTTAAAACTTTACCCCATTTTAAAACAACCAGCCTGGTTTTCACCCCTTGCCTCCAGCCCTCCAGCACTGAGGCCAGACGCTGGGCTGAAGGGGAGCCCAGGATGGACACACCTCCGCCAGGGTAGGAAGGAGGGCACACTTACCCAGTGGCTTGTACTCGTCGCGAGGAGACAGCCGAGAGTAGGGGGGCGGTGGTGATTCTAGAAAACAGGAGACAGCATGTCACTGCTGGGTAGGGGAGTTCACACCTGGGGTTCTACATGCTTTTAATTATTGGTTTCCTCAAATAATAAACTCGGCCCCCAGGAAGCCCTCCTTTTCCCCCACCACCACTGCTCCCCAAATCCACTGGAACAGTTAAGGCCACAGGCTTGGGGTGTGGACAGATTTGGGATCCATCCCTGTTCTGCCACCTTTGGCTGTGTGACCTCTGGCAAGTGACTTCACCTCCCTGAGCCTGTTTACTCAGCTCTAAAATGGGGATAATAATCATATAGACCTCCCAGTTTTCCCAAAAGGACAAAAGAAAGCAATGTATGTAAAATGCTCAGTACAGCTCTTGGCACTGTAGAAAAATAACTCTATAATCAGCAACCATTATTATTATAACAAGAGAAACTCGGGTACAGAAGTCAGAGCTAGGACTGCCAGATAAAATATAGGATGCTTAGTTAAATTTGAATTTTGGATAAGCATGGCATAATGTTTTAGCATAAGTATGTCCCTTAAAGTATCTGGGACATACTTATACTAAAATATTATGTGTTGCCTATCTAAGATTCAAATTTAACTGGGCATCCTGTATTTTATTTGCTAAATTTGGCAAGCCTAGTCAGAGCTGAATATGAGTACTGAGGCCCAGACGTGGAAACTCATTTCCAGACAAGCTGCATTAGAACTAACATTGTTGGAGTGGGGAGGACTGGTTGGGAACCAGGAAGCCAAACCTTGCCCAATAGGAGGTCCTAAACCAGTCACTTACAGCTCTCAGCCTCAGTCTCCTCCTTTGTAAAGGGCAGGGGTGGAACAGAAGCTCTCTACAGTCTTCCAGCTCAGACTCTGCGATTCCTTATTGTCTATGGTATTTTTCTTTGGGTTTCCTTTCATTTGCCTAAAATACTCCTCCTTAAAAACATATACTTTGCCTTCAGAAGAATTCCTTAGCCTTCTCTTGCTTTATGGGAAGTAACAATTTGCTAAACTAAGTAACAATTTGCATGAATGAAATGACCCTTCATTTTCCGTAAATGAAACTAAACACTATCAAATCGCAAACTAAAACAACCTCTCAGTGGTAATAAAGTGGTAATAACTATTATTAGGCAGGTATCAGTAATGACACAAGGGGTAATAATTGTTTTTCGCTATGATAAGGCACAATTAGTTGTAGGAGCATTTGTTTTGCTCCATACACCCAACAAGGCTTCATCTCTTCCCCACCCTGGTCTCTCCAGCCAGAACTTACTTCAACAAAGTGAAGGTTCTGAGGTCTAGACACAGGGAATCTTTTGTGGACCGGAGGGAGAAGGAAAAGCGAATCATGAATCAGTCACTGGGAGAGATGTGGATGCCTACCCTGGGTCTCGCCCTAGGCCAGGCACTTCCAATTTTACTTTACTGTATTTTAATCTTTTATACCTCAGCTACAGAGTGGTTAATCATGCTTGCTGGGCACTATTTTTACTTAATCCTTTCTCAAAAAAAAAAAAAAGATGGCATTATTATGCTCATTTTACAGATGGGAAAACTGACTTGCCTGTGGCCCCGAAGCAATGCTGGTGGAGTCGGGATTTGAGTCCAGCCTGACTCTGCTCTGCAGCCCAATGAGACAAAAATCAAAAGTGTTCATCTTATACTGCTTCATCCCCACTGGGTCCAGCACAGAAAGTGCTCATTAAATGTTTGTGGATGAAGACAACAGTGATGAAGATAATGGTAAAGTTGAGCGTATCTGTGGACAAAGGTATAGAGAAAGAGGGCCTGGGGGCCAAAGGGGGGACCCAGGGGAGACCTCAAACAAGACTCAAGGAGGGGAGCTATTTGTCTTCAGTAGGAGCCACCTTATGCACCAGTCCTTAGGCCTAGGAGAGACTGAGTAAGGCCCAGACTCTCAGGACAAGAAGCATGACACAGGAAGGGCTAGAGCTCCATGACGAAAGAGAAGTAAGACCAGTGCTTCCACTACACAGAGAAGGAGACTGAGGCCTGGCAAGTGGAAGTGACTCCCTCAGGAACCGGCTATGCAGCCAGAACCAGAGCCAGGTCTCTGACCCCAGCCTCACGCCCTTTCCACTACCCCACAAACTTATCAGAAAGCCTGCAATTCCTGTATCAGGGTTACTTTTACAAAAATCTGATTGGCTGAGGCCCAGGCCACACATGGCACAGAGCTCTGGACATTTGCCCTCCAGATCTGTCCCCAAAGATGAAACTTGGCAGCAATGGGCAGTGACAGCTGTAATCAAGCCACTGGAGCTGATCCCAGCATTTCTTCCAGGGGCTGCTTACCTGGGACTCAAAAGGTGGAGGGGCAGGAAGGGCTCATTAAGTGCCCCCCCTGCAGGAGCCACCTGGACTTCGAGTTGTGACACCCATCACCCATGGCCACATCTGAATTTGGGGGTTCTAATGTCATTAGCAAGACAGAAAGAAAATCTACAAACCTGAAACATCAGATATGCTGGCAAGCAAGGGACTGCAAAGCTTCCAGGAGGAACTTCACTAGTCCCCCACGTGCTGCAGCAAAATGGTTCACACAGAACTGTCTAACACCCATAGAGACTAGGAGCTAATCACTAAATTCCATTCTAGCCAACTGAAAAGTATGAAGGCTTATAGACTCCACCCCACAACACAGGGATTTAGAATGTCAGAGACGGAAGAGGCCTTGGGGCTTGCCAACTCAACTCCTTCTTCTAACTGATAGGGAAACTAAGGTCCAGTCAAGTAAGGACCTGCCCAATGCCACACATGAAGGTACCTGCAGATATTATTCTACTTTGATTAATTAATTCTATTCAACTAATTAAAGGGAGAGGTCAGTTGGAGACCAATGCCAGGTAATCCCTTTCTTTAAATTGAGATATAATTCACATACCATAAGATTCACCCTTTTAAAGTATACAATTCAGTGGTTTTTAGAATATTTAGAGTTGTGGGACCATCACCACAATCTAATCATAGGACGTTTCCATCATTGCAAAAAGAAACACTATCCCCATCAGTAGTCACTTCCTATACCTCCAAACCCCAAACCCCAGGCAACTATTGATCTACTTTGTCTCTAAAAATTTGCCTATTCTGGACATTTCATATAAGTGGAATCATACAGTATGTGGCCTTTTGTGTCTGGTTTGGTTTATTTTGCTTAACATAATGTTTTCAAGGTTCATCCATGTTATAGCATGTATCAGTACTCCATTCTTTTTCAATGGCTGAGTGATATTCCATTGTATGGATGTACCACATTTTGTTTATTCATTCATCAGCTAATGGACATTTGGGTTATTTCCACTTTTTGGCTGTCTTAAATGTGCTATGAACAATACTGGGTAACTCTTAACTGACACTCCCACTCCATTCCCACATGGCCAGGCCTCACAGATCTGGAAGAATGGAGCCGCAGGACATTTAACTCAGGTGGGCAAGTTGGACACTCTGGTGGGACACCTGGTGGGTGAAACAAAAGGTCAGAAGAGAAACTGCGAGCTGCCACCAGGCTCTCTGTCCCTTCCCCTCTTAGAAGTTGTCTTAATACTTGCAAAGTTGACTTTAAAACGATAACTTTTATGTCCTAAACTTTAACGGGACTCCTAGAGCCTTGAAGGTCCCTCTGAAAGAAATGAACGTAGTAGAGAGAAAAAAAGAGACAGAAAGAAATCAGAAACTCCAACACCTTCAGACATCCAGCCTGAGGCAGCAACTTCAGGAATCTCCTCCAGCTTCCTTCAGAAGCAAGAGCAGTCAGCCAGGGGCCAGTGCACCCCAAGGCTAGTGCTTGGCTCAGACCAGACGTGCCTCCGGTTAGCCCCCAGGGAGTACTCAGCCTTCTGGGATCCAGACCTAAATTCTAAAGCTGGAAGAGAGTTCACAGTCTCTCCCAGTGCCTGGCCAAATTTCAGCTTGGGACATTACCTTCCACCCCCATCTTTGCAGTCCAGCATCTTGCTTTGGAAAGGAACCACAGGCCTCACTGGGCCTCCAAGTTTCCCCCCTCCCAAGGAGTGGCCATGGGTGGAAAGGTGGGTGAAGAGAGGGCCCCCAGTGTCTGTCCCCTCCATCTCCAGAACCTGAAGACTCAACCCCATTCCCCAGTATGGGAGACACAGAAAAGGAGTTCCTGGCACTTTAAGGCCGGCTGAGCCTAATTGCCCAGATTCCCCTGGCAGCCAGATAAACAGCGCAGCCGGCTGGCGCCAGCAAGAGGCAAACTGCACATTATCACCCCTTCCTCACCTCCAGGAGGAGCAAGGAGGAGCAGAGGGGCAGGCCTAGGGGCCGCCGAGTGGGCGGGGCGGGGGCTTGGAAGCCCAACTTGAAATTGATCTCATTTCAAAGGGATAATGCCAGGCCAAATAAAAGGAGAACTTTCTAGCCCATTCTAATTCCTATAGTCCTGGCCTGGGAACCCTGTGTTTTCCTAGGCGGCCTCCTCTAGTCGTTTAAAAGTTCTCTCTCTCGCTCTGTCTCTCTTTCCCGGGCACAATTTGGATAATAGTAATTTACTGAATATAATTACAGAAAAAAAAGTGGTGAAGCAAAGAGCAGGAGATTTATTCCAAAGTTAATGGATACTTTCAGGAGAAAGGAGCTCTATAAACACAGGTTAGAGCTGTGATTAAAGTATTTCTCCACATTTCCGTCCACATAGGCACCCATCAAGCTCAGCGAACTGACTTTTCCTGGGACAGAAAGACACACAGAGGGAGGCAGAGCTGGGGCCTGACTCCCACGGAGAGGGGAGGTCAGGAGGCCTCAGGGACATGCCCAGGACAGAGGCTGGCACAGAGGGAGGGGCCTCTGCTGAGGACCCCAATTTCTGAGACACGCATGGGGGAGAGGGTGTGGAGAAGAGGAAGGCCTGTTTAGCCAGGAATCTGCCTGTCAGAACTCAAGGATTCTCTCTAGCCCCCTACTTTACAGATGGGCTAAGAGGTCCAGGGAGGGAAAACTTACCCTAAGGGCCCAAAGCAAGTTGATGGATGGAGCAGGACTGGCTCTGAACAGCAGAGGTCTACTCAAGGATTCTCTCTAGCCCCCTACTTTACAGATGGGCTAAGAGGTCCAGGGAGGGAAAACTTGCCCTAAGGGCCCAAAGCAAGTTGATGGATGGAGCAGGACTGGCTCTGAACAGCAGAGGTCTACACTGCCCAAAAAGGGACCCCCTGTCACTGGGGACACAGAGTGACTGGTACCAGGTGGGTGTC